ATATCCTAAGTACCTGGGTCCCTAAGATATAAGTCTAACATGATATGTTCCCCTTGTTTTCCCTACATCTTAAAAGTCTTCCCGAACCTCATCGTCGAGACAACTCATCTAATTTCTCCTTCAACTCTCCAACTTCAGGACTAACACTCTCACTACTCTTCAATGTCATCACCGCTCCCTTCTGTGCAATCTCAATCAATCCATCTCTCAATTCACATCCTCTCGCCAACCCCGATATCAAGACACCCATAAATGTATCACCAACCCCATTAACACTAACCACATCACCCTCTTCAACTTTCTCTGCCGCTGGGAATAACCTCATATATACACCACCCACTTCTTCATTTCCATTAGTACAGCGCGATAGAATATATGGAGCATGATCCGGATCTCGAAGTCGTAGATCAGTAGGCGATAATATGGAAGTAAGTAAAACTCCTTGAGACCCAAGCTTAGTAAGAAGAGTTGGGATATAAGGGAGGAGTTGAACAGCTTTGACAGGAATCCCTTGGTCAGTGAGATCCTTGGATGTCATCTGTACGAAACGATCTCGAGCACCGGTGCTAGGAATACCAAGAGCATCGATTGTTTGCCACCATTCGTCAGTCTCGAATTTACCGTGGGTAGTGGCGGAATCGTGCATAGAAGTGAGTTCGTGCTCATTAGGAGTTGCGAGATCCACAATGTTGTTTGGGAAGACTGGGAGCTTATTGACCCTGAGAGGTGAGCTGATAGGGCGTTCAAAAAGACGTGCGGATTTAATGGTTGAGACGGGTTCATATGCAATCTTGATGGAAGATGAAGATGATTTCGTGGCGCTCAAGAACTCTTGAATGACTTCTGATTGCCAATTTGCGTCTATAATGACCCATTTTGTGGAAGATGTAAGAGACTTCAGTTTGCTGTGAATGGTTCGAATAGATGAGTCATTGGATGGCCTAGCAAATATATCCATATCGGCCATGGCAATGACGAGATCTTTCTTTCCATCGTTAATAGCGACATACTGAGCTGTGCGGTAGTCAGTACCTTTTGAACATATTGTGATATCATCGGTATTGAGTCCATTGCTTTGTAAGCTTTGAAGTATCGATTTTCCGGCCCTAGAATTATCAGAATCGATTGATGACACGATTGTGGGTAACTCACTGGTCATCAGCAATAAATGTATATAGACTGATTGGCTCCTTGCTACTAAGTTGAGCTGCACGTAAGACGTTATAACCAACACCACCTATCGATGAATGGATTTTCGCGATATTCGATGTATGCATCTGAGGAGAAGAAGCCCCTGTCGATTGCGTGGTACGAGGAGTATAGTCACAAGCGAGATCTATAGCTATTGAGCCTACAACGACTATGCTGGGCTACAGGCAATAAAGAATTAGAAAGCAGTAATATTCTAAAAAGTGGGTTCCTCAAAAAAACATTGTGGAAGGCAAGGAGGATTATTGCAAACCTTTGAAGTAGAGACACTGGAAGAGGACAGTTCTAAGCTAGGGTGATTGGGGTCTATCTTGTTTATATTCGCTGTAGAGGAAGGCCGTGTGAGGACTTTACTAGTGTTTTCCCTATGAATATCTATTGAGCCAATATCAAATGTTTGATCCCAGGCATCACTAACCCGCGTGTTCTTAACCTAGAAAGCTCAACTGCTACTTTTGTCGCCATTTTGACATTGGATTCTATCAATGCCCGATTTGCTGCAGTGCTATTACCCTTTGTAAGTTCTTTGATCCTTGCCAAAATGAAGGGAGTATTTGAGTGGCCATGGAAGCCCTGTTCGGCGGCTTCTTGGACTGCTTGATCGATTGCCTTGTCAATTTCAGACTTGGGAAGGGAGAATTCTTCAGGAATTGGATTTGCAAAATGAAAACCGCTAGCAGGTCTGAAAAAGTCCTGGGCATCTACTATTGTTAATCATCGCTTACTAAATGGAAATTGACGAGGGATAGAGTCAAAACTTACAGATAATGGCAGCAGCTTCTTCAGCATTTTGAATAACCATAGGACTTTTAACACCACTATCACGAGTGAAAAATGCCGGATAGTCGATCGGTCCAGTACGTCCATCTGCAAATGTGAAGACGCCGGCTCCTTGAGTCTCTAGATACTCCAATGTCCGAGGAATATCTAGAAAGCTTTTACAGCCACTGCTGATCACGGCAACTGGGGTACGTCCAAGTTCAGTGAGGTCGGCAGAAATATCCATACTGTCCTGACCTCCACGATGAACGCCACCTAGACCGCCAGTTCCGAAGACACTAATTCCAGCTTTACGTGCTAGAATCATGGTACCAGCAATTGTAGTACCACCAGTAATCTTGCGTCCGGTGATCCCCTAACTACCGTTAGTTTATTGTCATTTTTACCCAGAAGAATATAGTATGTTAAAATGCACAGATCAGCACAGAAACTACCACTTACCATTCCCAAAATATAAGGTAAATCTCTACGGGAAACCTTCATAGTCTCCGGTTTACCAGCGGCAGATGCAATAGCAATCAATTCCTCCTTGTTTAATCCCACACGTGCAACACCGTCCAAGATTCCAATTGTTGCTGGGATTCCTCCATTAAGACGAACAACATCCTCTAAATCGAGGGCCAACTTGACATTATCAGGATATGAATATCCGTGAGTATAAATGGTGGTTTCCAAAGCTACAACTGGTTTCTCATACCTCGTAGCCTCTCTCACTTCCTCAGATACCTTGAAGAGTCTACTCTCAGCACGCCCAAAGCCCGGCCTTTGAGATCTCTTTTGATAACTGCCACGCCCTTGATTAGAGGGGTTGCTGAAATGGCATTTGGATAATAAGGTGCTGGTTGACACGGAAGAGATTCGGATCCCACGTGTGGGCCGGAGTATGGAATTCATAATGTGAAGCACTTCAACATGTAACCGTGGGGATGTAAGATGAGGAATTCAATGATGTACCAGTAAATGAGTCAATCACAAGAAGATTATATCTTCACGGCCGGCCATTTGTTGGACTTATAACATCCGAGTGTATTTACCAATGAGGTGTGGACAAGACAGTGAGTGGGGTGTGAATAGAAGCCTGTTAAGTTTATTGATAACCTTATTTTCACGTGATCCGTTTGTGACACATTGGAAGGTTGAGAAGGATTTTTGGCAGTTGAAGCACCATCGAGAAGTAAATTCAAGCAATGCAATATATTTGATACAAGCCGAGTCTCAATCAAAATTTGATTGGTCTTCTTCTTCGATATTTCGGAATCAGTTGACCGAACCAATCAATTTGTTGATTTGAACACTGTCATGCATAATTTATATTAATTCGTAACGAACATTTCATTCAAGAGATTGGAACGGAAATTTATCCCCTGGTCGTTATTTCGTATATTGTCATGCTGATATTACATGTAAAACCAACTGCCCATTCTTCCTTTGACATGATGTATCCATTGCTTCTTTGATTTTCTGTACATTGTATTGCTGAGTATCTTTTCGCCATGGCGGCATTACATTCCCTCATTCTTTTCATTTGTCTCTGCGTTCAAGGTATTTTCTCCCAAGAAATTGTCAATGGACAAATTTATACTCCCGGTATCGCGATAGTCGATGCGCCGCAACCAAATACACCACTTGGAGGGGGTAAGTTCTAACAAACGCCTAACTTTGGATGTTGGATGTTTTCTAATCGTTTAGATTTCCTACAAGTTGCGCTAGATGTCTCCTCAGATGGACAGCTTCAACTTCCACCCTATCCGAAGAACGCTGTCTCGGAGATCTATAACATCACCATGTTTCTCTCCAGTTATACTACAGGCAAAAACTTCACAATCTCAAATGGAACCGCGACGGCAGGAAATGCGAGCTTAGGCGAAATCATGGCTCAAGAATCAAGTAGCACAGTCAAACATGTAAACTGGGTTTGGCCTGACTGTCTTGTTGGTGATGGCACATCGGATAAAAACACTGCAAGAGGGGCATATAACGTGCGTCCTTGATATCCATCCTATGCTTGTGAGCCAACTCTAACAATCTTGTAGATTTCCATCCGTCAAAACTTCCGATTGAATGGAACTGATCAGTACACAATTTTCGACCTGCCAATTCAAGTCACCAACTCTATACCTGAGCAAAGTGATAGACCTTCTTGTGATTCTATCAATAATGATTTGATTCCTTGGGCAACATTAAACGCGTCGGCAAATAGTTTTACTCGTATTGCAGGAACGGCCATACAAACTACAGCTTCTTCACAGGATGGAATTGGTGCTGGAAGCTCCATCGATTGGAGAACTGGTGTACATTATATATGGATAGGAAGTCTGGTTATGATGTTTGCGCTATAATTTCTAGAACATCGAGTCAAGGGTTAAGGGGGGTAGATTCTGTACTAATTTCCAATCTAATTTAAGTTTCATAATCCACCGACGCATCCTTAGGGTCCCGTTTCCGTTGCATTAGTTAGTTTGAGAGCTAACAACTCCGTGACAAGCTAGCAACCAATTAGCCCACAGCTTCAAGTGTCCTTCAGTTATATCCTCCCATAGTAAGGTCACTTACTCTCCCATAAAGTATTATGTCTAGACAGTTTTATTTTCTCTATGTTGCTCGGTAAGATTTCGGAGCAGTAGATTGGAGTCGAAAGAAAACCCGAAGAATTTGCCGATGGAAAAATCCAGGATTAAAGCAAAGAACGAGAAGCTTGCGAAGTGTTATCACATAGCCCCATAATACCTACACCTCTCATGGGGAAACCTACGCGCTAGACCCCGCTCCCCGCAATTCAAGACTCAAATCCTTTCCTCGGTTGGCAAACTTTCCCTATTCTGATTGGCCAGCATGTGCTTCGATAAATGCTAAGCCGGATATCTGGAATATCATAGTTAAGTCAAAGGTAGTAGCATTCCTGTCAAGATATTCTCTTTTCTCCCCTTTCATCCCATTGAAACTTCATTATCAATTCGTCTCATCGACAAACCCTCATAACTATCAATAATATTACACAACAGACGGGAAATATGCCAATGCATAACGGATGGCTTCCACGCGAAGGTATAAGCTTGAACTCCCTGTACTCGTAGCACCAAAGCTCACACAACATATTAGGTTTCTGAAGCGATTCCCTTGGTAGCCTCATCAAGAAAACGGCATTAAATCCCGCTTTTACATTGGTCTTCCTCATTCTAGCTCGTTACACTAAACGGGGAAATGATCTTTCGATTCTTCATGAAACGGCCTTTTCTCGAATTCGAAAACTCTTCTATTTTGGGGTTGTCAGATTAGTGTCGAATTATTTGGAAAGAGGCGTGCAGAATAATTGGGTAGACGATGTATATGATTGGAAGAAAGAAATTGTGTTGATCACCGGTGGTGCGGGAGGGATCGGTGGTCAAGTAGTAAAGCTTTTAGCAGAGAAGGACATCACAGTTGTGGTATTAGATGTGATTCCTATGACTTTCGAGACGAGTATGTTACCCTACCTATGTCTTTTGAAACCCTTCAATTGAACAATACTAACACATCCCCAAGCACCAAATGTGCATTACTACAAATGCGACATCACCTCCCCATCCACCATCGCCACAACCGCATCTCGCATCCGCTCCGAAGTCGGTAATCCGACCATCCTCATCAACAACGCGGGCGTCGCGCGCGGAAAAAGCATCCTCGACTCCACCGAGAAAGATATCCGATTTACCTTCGACGTCAACACGCTCTCGCACTATTTCACCACCAAGGAATTTCTCCCCTCCATGATCGACAAAAACCACGGCATGGTCGTCACAATCGCCAGTCTCGCCGCCTATCTCCCCGTCCCAAACATGACCGACTATGCCTCATCCAAAGCCGCCGCGCTATCCTTCCACGAAGGACTAACCGCTGAACTCCTCACCAAATACAACGCGCCGAAAGTAAGAACGATAGTGATTAACCAGGGATATACGAAAACGGCACTGTTTCAAGGATATAAAAATGATGCGACGTTTTTGCTTCCGACGCTGGAGGTGGATACGGTGGCGGAAGAAATTGTCAAGAAGATTTTGAAGGGGAAGAGTGGGCAGGGGATTTATCCTGGGTTTGGGGTTAGCCTCACGTGGTTGAGAGCGATGCCGGGGTGGTATCAGAATAGAGTGAGGACAAAGGGACAGGATATTATGACGAATTGGAATGGGAGACAGGTAGTGGATGTGGATGAGTTTTATGAGGAGAAGGAAAAGGATGGGAAGGAGAAGGAGAAGGGAAAGCGGTTTGAGGAGGAAAGCGGGTAGGTTTTCCTTCTTCATTTGTCCTTCGGGTGGAATTGATGGGCTAATTGATTTAGATCGACGGTGTTGGTTAACCCTTGAGTTTTGACGAATGAGAATTTGGCTTGTGGTGTTGTTGAAATATCAATGCTATTGAATCGGATTTGTATTTAAAGTCGTGGAATTTGAATCAGGTTTTTGAATACACTTCTAATGGAGCGATGGAAGTATCGCTCTAGTTATTGACGATCAGCATTGTGAATCGCAGAGCAAATATTTAGGCTGTTCAAGTCTACTAGGCATACAGAATAACATTTTTCAATACTCTCCTCGACATCACAATCCCTTAATTCTTAATTATGAACACTTCTTAAATATGAACGAGTAAGGCAGCATTGTATATATGGTCAACAGGACAAAAGATTGATATTACAAATAGCTTTTCTAAACATTTTGGGGAAGAAGAAAAAAGAACAGAATACCACTCAAAGACGCAATCACAAGAATATAATTAAACACAGAATAGGTAATTATGAACATTGTAAATTTTTATTTATACGTTTGAACCCTACTCAATCACTCATCATAACAACTCTCAAGTTGCACGCCCATATGGTACCCAAACAAACCCCAATCATCAATCAGACTGGGCCTTGAAGCTTTCGTATAACGCCCAGGATATCAACTCTCAAACGCCGGATTCATAAACTAAGAGTTGTGCCTACGAAAAAGATAACCTTGACGCCAATCGCTGGACCAGCGTTTCCTTTTTCCTTAAATGCAATAATGTACTCATACAACAACATATTTTCTTTCTTAGGCAGAAACAGAGACCATTCTGGATGCTTCCAACAAAGGTGCAGTAGCTGAGGGACCGGGGGCACTCTCCTCAGCAATTTCACCACCAGCTTCTCTTTCAGCCCAGGCACCCCAAAGACCTCGTTTGCCTCTAACACGGATTGGCCCTCCTAGAGAGTTTTCTGGTTGCTCAACCTTAACGGCATCCTTGGTTGCGAGTACCAAAACTTCAAAGAACATCTTGGTAGCATCGGCTTTGCTTGTTGTACCTTCTGGTAATAAGTCCTGGAAAAGTACGCTGGCCTTCTTGCGCTTGTCTGGGCTGTTGGCTGCCTCATTGCCAAATCGTTCACGGAGAAGATGAACAGCGTGAGTGGTACCGAGCGATACGGGGCCGCTATCCGCAGGGTGTACAAGAGGTGCGGTTGTCTCGTCGAATTGGTTGCCTGGACTTACGCTGCGAGCGTCTCTTAAGCCGGCAGTAGCGTTGTGTTCGTCATCGTCAATGTTGATATTGAATTCATCATCACCCCCCATTTCAATGATTGTACCATCAGCAGCAATCATTGTGTCGTCCCGACCTAAACCAGCATCACCAGCAAGATTGGCACCAAGATCCTCTTCCTCTCCAAGATCCAAACGTGGTGATTTGTTGGCACCTGGTTCTTGCTCACCATCCACATCAGCAACACCACCATCACGCTTACGCTTCAAGTCTCCTGTCCTACGAACAGCATCGAGTGAAAGCATTCCACGAAGCTCTGGTGCCCAACCCATACTTCTTCCTTCACCCATAATATTAGAAACAAAGCCACCATTCTTTTGCATTTCCATTAATGCCAAAAGTTGAGGATCACGGGGAAGGAATGACTGAGGACGTAAAATAGCCTCGTGATTCTTCTGCAATTCTTGAATAGCATACTTAGAAATGGTAGTATCATCATCAGGCATCAAAGGTTTAAACTTTCTAGCACGTTGAGCTGGTTGGCGAAAGATTGATTGTTCTGTCTCATCTTCTGGTGCGAATAATCCAGATCCTTCTCTTTGTTGCTGATTTGCCTCGACTTCGGCAACAATAGTTTCGTCGATATCGGAAAGTGGCGATTCGGAAATGCGAAGACGCTCGAGTTCTGGAGCACGTGGAAGAGCAGAGATATCTGGTTCTCCACCAATGTTAAGCATGTCGATGTCCCCATCATCATCACCGATGTGGAATCCAACATCATCATTACCAAAACCGAGGTTGATTGAATTTTCACGATCTCCATCATCAAAGACATCCTTTGCTCGTGGTTGAATATCCAATTCACTGAGTAAGTCATCTTCAACAGCTCTTGCTGCTGGTGCATCTCGTCCGAATTCGAGACTGATATCAGCTCCAGATCTATCAGCTCCAGTCGCCTTAGGGTTTATATCGTCGAGTCCAAAATCAAGACCCAAATCAAGATCATCGTCTAATGGTTCTAATGCGAGCTCATCCTCATCTGCGTTGTTATCTTCGACACTATTTTGTAAGAATTGACTATTGTTGAACTCGTCCTGCAAGTTTATATCACGGCTAGCACCTCTTCGTTTGCGACCCAATGCCGATTCTTCGTCCAATTGGGAAAAAAGGAATGATGCATCAGGCATCGGTGGCATTTCGAGGTTATCCCCTTCAGTAAGCATATCGGGAAGCATGAGAGCATCTCTAGAAGGCATATGTAGTCCGGCGGGAATATCATTGTTGCCGGAGAGACGGAAGGCCTAGGTTGGAATGGTTAGTATTTACATTGAAGCTATTGGAATATTAAAACGTACCATTTTAATTTTTATGAGAGCTTCATTACAATCATCCAGCAAATAACGCGCTTTTCGACTATAAATTCTGACCACTCCTAGCAACAGTTGACCACTTAGACGTAAAGCCATTGGTGCTTGATTAGGTGTGACGATAGCTTCAACACTATCCTTGACGCTGGCTTGTAGAATATGATTTTTTGACAACTTGCGCTCTAAATTTGCCGAAAGCCAGACACGAGCCAAAGGCCCCGTCTTGCTCAACAAAGTCTCTGAGTAAAACATGGTGGTAGCAAGAAATGTATGGCGCCCTCGCGCGAGGAAGTGTAGGTTTTGTTAAGTGGATTCAATAATGAAAACGCGTGTATATTGCCTACTGTTGACCGTCGACTCTTTCGTTCGTTTGATGGCGCGTCGAGGATATTGGATTTTGACAGCTCTCGATGAATATGTGTTATGAATTAAGCGCGTCGCGGCATTAAATTGTAGCAAGAAACCACAGGTATCGAAAGAACAATATGGCAATCGTAGCAACGAATTGATTGTAGTGCTTTAATGCGATGCGACGACGACGACCAGGTGATAAAGCTTAAGAAAGGATGGGGGAACAGGTGGGTGGGGAGGTTAATGTTTGCGCAATGAAGAAGAAGAATCAAGAGGCTGGGATACATTTTGGATTTTTAACGCTAAGCTATTAATGGCTAAAAGCTTCGTCAACAAGTGGGTCTGGAGCCTAAAACCGTAATCTACACGTGACATTTCTACCTTTCTATATTTACCTAGGTAGGTATTTATCTATTCAATACCATATGCAGTTCGAGCAAGAGAGAAGGACAAAGAGGGAAAACTTCAACCAACTGATATGTGAATTGGTGTGAAGTCTGATAAATAAAACAGTACTGTAGTAATATCTATCTAAGCGAGCTGGGTAATACTGACCTGACCTACTGGGTATGAAGTATGGCAATTTGATGTATGATAAAGTCTCGACCGGGTGCATATTTATTTTATAACAATTCACTGGTGGTTTCTCTTACGGAGCAACGGTCTTCTTGGTTCTACATCTTTTTCCCCTACGAAGTATATATACCTAGGCAGTGCTTATTCAAACTTTAAACCCCCTTCCCAGGACTTCTAGATTCCAATTCCAGGCCTAGAAACCCCCTTGGAGAAAGTCTCGCCCAGGCATGCGACCTAACTACAGGGGAGGATATACCAAAAACCCTAGACCGTGCTCAGCTCACTGCAGATGCTGATTGCCTACTGGGTATAATACCTGATACTGGATACTCTTCTACTTTTTGAAACTGGTAGGAAAAGTTATTACGGGGAGACGACACGTAATTCGATAATTACTATGGATCAAAATCTAAAAGACTATCAACCAATTCTTTGAGAAATACAATTACACTACTTTCAGAGATCAATTTCTTGCATGTTGGAGTTGGGAGGAGCTCTCTTGTTTTGTTTAATGGGTGGCCTTTACTCAAATTCTTAACTTACCACATTTCCTCTTTCGTTTCGGCCAAATTCGCATGCCTCAGTGATAGGCATTAAGCATAACGACAGCAAATACTGCTGCTCGTTACTCTCGCAGACGGTAAAAGGGCTTTCTGAATAGTTGGAATTGAAGCTATGTCGTGGCCGCGCCCTGCAAGATCTGGTAGTCCTTCGGGATCTTTATTGCCCATGGTCAACCTTCCATCCGCGAATGGTAGAGAGCCAATTTCAGAGCCATCTTCGAGACCAAGGTCAAGGGATAGAGCCAATTCAAAGAGCAGACATACTCGATCGTCCTCAGCGATGGCCAAAGTTAGTGAACGCCCAATTTCAGCTGAACCAGAAAGGATCCCGACTAATACGACTAATGCGCAACAGTCAATAGCAGATGAATTTTCCGGTCTTACACCCGCAGAAACCGCAGAACGATTACAGACCTCACTCACGTCAGGTTTGACACCCGCAGAAGCTCTTGCTAGATTACACGATCAAGGACCGAATGAACTTCCCCACGAACCTCCCGAACCATTATGGCTTCGATTTGTGAAGCAATTCAAGGAAACTTTGATTCTGTTGTTATTGGGTTCAGCTGTTATGTCAGTAATAGCTGGAAACAAAGATGATGCGATCAGTATTGCCGTTGCAGTTACAATTGTGGTCACAGTAGGATTCGTACAAGAGTATCGTTCTGAAAAATCGATTGAGGCATTAAACCACCTGGTCCCCAATCATGCGCACATAATACGAGGAGAAATGAGAACTACAACCCCTAGAACACCTGCATGGCCCCCTAGCGCCCGAGATGTCCCAGAGACGGAAGCATTGATGGCAGACTCTGGATCTGACGCGGATTCTAGTATGGCAGAATCTGTATCACAAAAAATGATGGCATCGAAATTGGTTCCTGGAGATCTCGTTTTATTTACTACTGGAGATCGTATACCTGCCGATATTCGTGTCACAAAAGCTTCAGATTTGACAATTGATGAATCCAACTTAACTGGAGAAAATGAGCCTGTCCGAAT